AAAGGGGGGATACCTAGATCGGTAAAATACGCGAATTTCTTCCTACAACTTCGGTTGTTGTTCGGGGTACAGTTAAGGTTTTAACGAAGTTCGAGCGAATACATAATTAGCAAAAAAAAGTTGAAATAAAGTGATTAAACAAAAATTATTACAAATATCGTAAATAACAAATGCATATATAGAGATATTTTTTGAAAGGGGGAAATGGTCTTCACAATTTGAAATGGATCGAACACACAGTGCTCGAACGCTCGTGTAAACGCGCGCCATCTATCGTAGGATAAATGTACTTCGCGAGAGGGTATTAAAAAACTTTCCAAAGTTTTATGGCAATCGTACTATGCCACAAACCTTTGCTGGAGTATATTAAACAACTTCCCAAAGTTTCATGGCAATCGGATAAACGGTGTTGTAATGCATGAAGGACACACACATTCATTTCTATATATATAGATAACTATTAATATTTAGCTTTTTGTTACTTTGATAATCAAGATAATTTGGATATTTATCTGATTATCAGTCAGTTTATAACTTTTTAAAGCAGTGCTAATCATATCTAAATTGTAATGTTTTATATTTATAATGAATTATAACCTTAACTTTATCATAATATATAAAATTTCATGAAAATTTGCATGATTAAGAACCAAATTTTTACTTATGTTGCTTGAATTATACCCTCAAATTGTTTTTCTACCATTACATCATATATTAATGTCATATTTTTTGTTGTTTAAAAGTAAATGACTATTTATTTATTATTATATTATAATGTTCATAATTGTATATATCTAACTGCTTCTGATATCAAAATTTTAGTAGCATTACTAAAATTCCTGAGGTTTGTATCATATATCTGTTTTGGTAGATTTAACCTCTTATAGAAAATAGTATATATAAATTCATAATAATTTAATAAATTGAAAATGCATTATAATTTTAACTGTTTAAAGTTTTGAATATTCTCTTTATTCATTTCATAAATTTACAATGTTTAAAATTAATATCTTAAATTTTAAAACTTCTGTTGTAAAGTAATAATAATAAAAATATATATATGATATAATCAAAGTTTCTCTATTCAGAGCACTGTATTGCTATAACCAATAAGTGGATTGATAACAAAATTTGTGTACAGATTATGCAAAGGATGTAGAAAAGGATTTTCAAAAAAAAATTTATTTAAAAAAATTCAGCTAGAGTGTTTTCTACAGGAAAATACACAAAACAAAATACACAGTAAGTAGTGAAGACCAACCCTTAAAGTGATCTTTTAATTTGTTATTTTAAACATTATGAATAAAGTCAGTGAAAACAATGACATTGATCTGAATCTGTGTGATTTCTGATTGTGGGATCATTTAAAGAATATGATTTATCATGGAAATGTAACTTTGACAGTCTTAAGGATTGTATTACACTGCATGTACAAAGCAACACTGGAGAGCAGTTGTTGCCAGCTGCAGAACACATTGTTTATGGCCTCCAAATTTAACATCTGAACAATGGGACATACATTGAGCAAAATTCCTTACAATAGTAAACAGCTTCTGCATAAGGCCTATCCCTTACAGAACAAATAAATTTGTTTTCATTGTGTTTTTATTGTTTTGATTTATGTGTTTTCATGTAAAGCATCTCCTAGCAGAAGTTTTTAAACTAAATTTTTGTCAACTTAAATTTTTTTTGTTAACTAAATTTTTTTTTTTTTTCCTAAATTTTTGTCTTGCAAAATCCTTTTCCACATCCTTTGCAAAGTCTATACAACTTTTGGTGTCAACCCACTTATTGGTTATAGTTACGAGTGCTCTGAATAAGGAAACTTTAATTAGAGACACACTTCAAATATAAATTTTTAACAGTATTTTGTTTTAATTCATATTTTAATGTGTTGAATATCTTATTTGATAGGTTTTTAGTACAGACATATAATATAGTGGTCCTTTGTAATGAAAATTACATTGTAGAACCAAATTCCTTACAATTTTTAATTCAACACGGATTTGACTTTAATTATCAATACGAATTTGGACTGACATATTATCGAGGAAATGATAAGGTAAAATTATAAAAATAATAATTATTATTTATTGTTTTATCCAGTTCCTGATTCCTGATTTATAGTTTACTGAATTATGTACACAATCCAATTCCAATTTTGATAATTAATTGTAAGTTCTTTCCATGCAAATTTTTATCATTTTTTTTATATCAGAAATGCAGAATTAACATGAATTAAAGAATAGTAAGCAAGTAAAAAAATTTCATTCCTCATGTAATTAATTGTAAAATTATCAGTGTGCACTAATACTATAAATTAAAAATGTTCATCTGTATTTACTATACATTTCTTTACATCTTTAAAAAATTGAATATAATCATGTTAATATATTCTCTGTTTAATGATAGATTCAAGATATCCTCTTTCTTCAATAATTTTTTTTAACTTTTTCTGACCTGTGAGCCCTAAGAGGGCCTTTTTGTTGACTAATCATGGACACCTTAATCATCTGGCCATCCTGTTTAACAGTAACTAGCAGACCCTGCCACGCGTTGTTGTGGATCAAAATATATCTATTATAAATTTATAACACTTCCCTTATGGGGGGGAATTTTTAGAAAAATTTCTTCTTAGTGTACATTCTCTTGACATACCCTATTAAAACGCAATCAAAAACGCAAAAACCCGCATCTAAAATAGTATAAATAGAAGCAGAGTTCTTTACCGTAAGCCTTAATCCTAACCATCTCCCTTCAATGGGGTTGAATTTTGACGTGTATATTATATAAAAACACATGCGTATTCAAATGCAGCGTTGTGTCAAAATTTCAAAGGAATTGGTAGGAACAAACGAACATTACATTTTTATTTATATAGATAGATAGAAGATGATCTGCTTTAGTTCATTTTCACAGAAAAGCATAATGCCTCACAGAAAAGCAAACTTAGGGCGTCGTACTTGTAGCACCATCTGTTGGACATAAAAGCCTTAACCTAGATTATATATTTTAATTTATATGAATGTTTAACGGAATAATATACAGCCTATGTCCACCCTGAAGTTCCATTCTAAATATTGGTGAAAGAGTTTTTGAAATCGGATGAGTAGTTTCGGAGATTACCTGCTGTATACAAACTTACATACAAACATTACCTCTTTATAATATTAGTATAGATTATGCTATGGTGAAATGAATTTGAATGTTTACTTTATTGAATTGAAGTTTGTATAAGTAAAATAACATTTTAAATTCTGCAAAATAAATTTATTTATTATTTTATTTTTTTTTAGTTTGAACTAAAAATACAAATTATGAAAATATTATATTACTGGGATATGCTTCCACTTTAAAAAACTTTCTATTTATTTAAATGCTACAAATTTCATTAATACAATATTTTGTTTTCATGCAAAATGATTGTCTTTAAAAAATCTAGCAGTGAGTTGCATAAATTTCCTGGCAAAAAATATTTAAGAAACACATAGCAAAGTTTAAAATTGTGTGTGGTGTCATCTGTTACAAGGTGTTACTAAAAATAACTTTTATATTATTAATTATAATAAAAAAGGCAAAAGGCTTAATCTTGAGGGTAGAGATGAGTGTTTAAAAATGTTGTAAATGCCACTAACGATTAAAATTTTCATTAAGTTCAACCTTACTCAAGATATGATACATCACCTCTCAAACTTTGTCCACCAAAATATAATAGCATCAATGCCCCTTATATACAAGTTAACATGCAGATTTGTTTCTTAACCTTTATTGCATCCTGAGATATTAAATGAAATAGATGCCAACACACACATATATCCACAGTTTTTTTTCTTCAGAGGGTGTCAAACATTTAGATTTGCAAAACTTTGGAGGGTCAAATTTCATATGATTTCAATATTTGCTGCATTATATACATAACTGCCAGGAAGATAAAAATTAAGAAATCTTATTAGGAGAAAACATAAAGCAATAATTTGAAATTTTTTGCTTTCTTTCATCTGTTTGCAGTAATGAATTCATAAATGGTATTCATTTATGAATTTATTAGAAACATTTTGTACAGAAATTTATATAATGAAAAATTATGTTGTGAATTCTTAACATCGAGCTGGATATTTATATATTTATTTCTTATTTCATTTTTTCAAATTTTATATTTTCTTAAAAATAATTGTCTTAAATATTTATAGGATGAATCAAGTATAGACACACCCAGTCTTCGCAACCTTCTAAATGAAATAGCAATAGCAAAGCATCCCATTATACTTCATAATGGTCTCGTAGATATAATATTTCTCTATCAGAACTTGTATTGTGAACTTCCTTCATCATTTTCATCGTTTTTGGCAGATTTGTCAGAACTTTTTTCATCTGGTATATACGATACAAAATATATCAGTGAGTTTCAAGCTAGATTGCCTGCATCATATCTTCAATATATATTTCGCAAAAAGTGATTATTTAATTTAATTACTAGTATCTTATAATTTATACGTAATTTTTTTGGTAAAATATACAGTAGAGCGTCGATTTTCCGAAAGTCAATCATCCGAAAGATTTCCAGTCGGCAAATTTAAATTTTCGCTAGTGCTGTGGAGCTTCAATCTTTGTCTATGTCTTGGGCTACTCAAACATTTTACGTTTTTGATACTAAATTAACATCTGAAGTATAATTTTTTATTGTTTTTATATTTTTCAATAAATTTATTTTGTTTGTACAAAATAAAAAAATAATTTTTAACGATACAATAGTCTTTGTTAGGCTTAACATTGATGAAAATTCAACGCGAAGCGACAAGCAACGGAGAAAAATTTTGACATCGGATACGTTAAACTATTTTTTCGTACATAAATCGGTTATCCGAAATATCAGTTATACGAACAACCCCATTCCCCAATTGATTCGGAAAATCGACGCTCTACTGTATTCTGAAATAATTTAAAATGTAATGTGCTTTAAGATATCAATATTTTAATCATATTAAAAAAGTAATTGTTTTTTTCAGACAGAGAGAAAATGCAAATAAGATGAAAAATGAAAAACATTATGTTGCAATTGAATTTGTATCATATAAGGATTTGAGTGATATTGAATATGTTATGTGTCATTTGAGAGATATTCCAGAAAAAAGAAATTCTGTAACAGTGTGCAAAAATTATGCAGTAAGTATATTATTTATTATATGCAGGTTTGCAACACTTAACAATATTTTGCTTAATGAAGAACTACATATATATTGGAGGTAAGCTCCAAAATTTGTAGCTGCTTGGTCCTTTTCTATGTTTAAATACATAAACATTTATCATTGTATTCCACTTGAATGGCTTGGATGCAAAAAGTGATAAGCCACACAGAAAAATTTATGAAATAGCACATTTAAATCTTTAAACATATCAATTTCAGGATATGTTTATAGATTTAAATATGATATTTTTTAACTTCTTTGCAGTATGAATAAGTGCACTAAAAAAAATCCAGAAATGAGTTGCTTACCTTTTTCAACAACATTTAAAACTGTGTGGTGCCATCTGTTATGATATTTTATTTTTAAACATTTTTATATTTTTAATTCTTATAAAATAGCAAAATCTTTATTTTGAAGGTATGGATAGTTTTCATAAAAACTTGTGAATACTAATATGAGTAAAATCATCATTAAGTTCCTACTTGAGATATGACGACTCTTCTTTATCTCCCGACCCCATCGATCTTCAACCACCAAAATTTAATAGTATCAATTCCACTAAAACAGAAACCTCCCTGCAAAATTTCAGAAATTTTTGACCAAAAGCACAGGAGTTATTAATTAATATATCATCATTTATTTTCAGTGCAATTATAAAATATTTTTTATATTTAAAAAAATTCAGATATGAAAATTGTCCAGCAATTTAAATATCTTATTGACATCAGATTTTGATTAAATTTTAATTTAATTTTGAATACAGTGGAATCCTATTTATCTGGCTCAAACGGGACGGGGGCCATATTCTTTTCACTTATCTCGTCTTTTTTCAGAGATGAATGATATCAAAACAAGAGACGAAATTTATCTCTCAGAGACAGAGGCAATTCTGGTCATTCATAACAATCTTGTCTTTGTTGTTGACATCACAATTCTATTAGGTTTCATACATGTACATGTTCAGGTTATGTGCACATGCAACACAGTATAGAATTTTAACCAATGAAATTGTAAAATTTTTGAAAATGTAGAATGTGATATTATAGGTCATGTGGAAAGCACGTGTTCAAATAAAGCTTGTAATTTTGATAAAGATATATTTTTTTGTTTTGTAGCATTTTTAAATATCATAATGTCAAAATGTCTCAGGTAACATTGTCTCTTAGGTTAATAAAATTTTTATTTGTTAAATTAGAGAGGTTGAGGCGCATGTTTTAAACGTGTAAACGTGTACGTGTGACGTTCGGCGCCGCTTTCCCGTAAGCCTAAAAGTTTGACAATGGTGTTTGGATAGTCGGTGGAATCACACTCGACATTTCAAACACCATCGTCAAACTTTTAGGCTTACGGGAAAGCGGCGCCGAACGTCACACGTACACGTTTACACGTTTAAAACTTGCACCTCAACCTCTCTATTATAAAAGCATAAGTACTTAGGGAGAAATTAGAACAGTAATGTTTTGAAAATACTTAGAGATGGATAAAGTTAACAGCATATTCAATAGTTCAGAAATTGATGGAGGATCATTAAAAAAAGATGGAGTCAATGGCATTCCCGAGTAGCCATTTAAAAAAATAATAAGCATTATTTTTATCTCAAAATATTATTTTCTGAGATAGAGAATTTCTTAATACAGTTTTATAAGGTGAGTAGCATCCAGTCGTCCATATTGAATATAACGAAATTGAAGCAAAAGAAGAAAGACCAGTCGAAAGACAACTATCTGCTTGTCTCAGAAAGACAAGAGAATCTTCAAAAGAAAAAGTTGTTCAGAATCACATTGGAAAGACACTGTGATCTCTCGAGACATAAACAAATGATTAGCCAATCAGCAATTTGCTTGTGACACTGTCTCTTAGAGATGAGAGACAATGACCAGAATACAGCCCCAGGTCAGATCAGATGACCAAAAATCCAGAAAAATTGTTAATGACATAAATAACACGGTTTATAGACTTTTTATTTTATATCTCTGGTTTCTTCTTCAACATGACGATCACTTTGTTTCCTTTAGACGTCATTTTCACGGTGTTTACTTTATTTCACAAATGTTTGAAGATGAGTGAAAGTTAAACGATAGAGGCTTTAGGGTTTTGAGTGAATTATGAGGTTATGTACAATAAACTTATTAAAACATGTTGATTGCATGAGAAGTACAGCATTTTTATTCAACAGGAAAGTAGCAATTTTTTAAAATTGAAAATCATAAAAGATTAGAAAAGGTTCAACAAGATAGTAAATTCAAAGAACACTCCCCTGGAATGCATAACAATGAACATCATATGCTGATTCATAGGAAACAACTTTATTCTTGTCACACTCAGGCAAGAATGTAATTAGGAGTTCTTTGATTTTTTCCATTTACAGGATTTTTGTATGTCTATCTTTCTGAGACAGGCATTGTGTTTTATAATCTAGATAAATGGGGTTTCACTGTATTAATTTTTAATTAATATGCAGAATATTTCAATAAATTTATTCTAAAATATAACGTTTTGTTATGCAGAATCATGGCTGGTGTTCTAAGGGAAAGGATTGTACAGATTCTCACAATGTTGATGATATATTGGATAAACAAGGATGTGGTTTGCCGTCCAAAAAAAGGAAAACAGAAAACATTAAAGAACAGGAAATAAGTACCAATAAAATATCTGTAGATAATTCTTTAAGTCATACTGGACATAGAGCTGGCTTTGATGCATTTATGACTGGATTTGTCTTTGCATCTTTTCTTGAAGTTCATTGTAAATTCAAATCTCCCTCAGGTTTGACTGCAATGTTAGAATCTGGATTTGATAAAACTGTTAATAAAATATATCTTATAGGCAAGAATGTTCCTTTAATAGTGACTAAAGGAAATTTTGCCAAATCTAGTAGTGAGCACAAGAAAAAATTACAGAAATTAAATATTTAGGTATGTTTTTAATAAAAATAAATATTGTATTTATTAAATATTGTTTATTAATAAATTTATTTTTATACAGAAATTAATTTCTTACTAAAAAAATTTATCAACAATTGTTATATGATTTGCTGTATTATAATATAAGATTTCTCACATTTTTTTAGAACTGAATTTGATTACATTATAAAATTTTGTAAATTTTTTTAATCTTAGTCTGTTTTTATATAAAATTATCAATCACTTTTTGTTATAAATTATTATATAAAAAATATTACAATTTTATTACTAGTTATCTGAAATAAGTGTATTGAAAATGAGAGATTATTACAACTCCTATGATAAATTTAAATCTGATAAACAATTCTGAAAATAAATTAGTATAAAAAAATATTTTCAAGATTAAATCTCTTCAAATCAGTCATTAAAAACAATATATTCTTTATGATGATTGATCAAACTGTTCTTTTTAGCAAATGATCTGATGATGTGATTTGATCTTGCAAATGTTTATCTTGTTGTTTTTCTACTGACTTTATTTTAAGGATTGTTTAAAAATTCACAGTAACAATTTCTACCACACTTAATTTTATATTTTTGCTGAAATTAAAAGATAAATCATTCTTAAAATTTTACATTAAGATAAAGTTTCCTAATATAAGATGCTATTTTTCTGCTTTTAATTTATTTTGTGTCTTTATGTTTCAGTATATAACTGACAAGTTTAGCAATTTTAATGTTGAACTATTGCAGTAAAAAAAGGAAACAGATGTTGCTTTTGAGATATTTGTATGTAAAATTTTAAATAAATATTTTATAGTATTTATTCTAAAATTTTTTAGAGTAGTGTTTAATATAAAATTTCTAATATATCAAGAAGGATTTTGTTAAAAATATATAAATAAATAAAACAAGGAAATTGTATATTTGCCAAATAATAATAATACAAAAAATTGGTTTTAACCATTTGTCCCTCTGAAGTTTGACAAATTTTTCTTCAGAATTAGCTTCATGTTGATATTTAAAATCTGGACAGGCTGAATTAACTTTTATCAGTTAGTATATGAATAATTAGTATTCAACTAATAATAAACATTAATTTAACAAATTATAAGTTTTATTGTTATTATGTTGTTACAATATCATTCAATATCAATATTAATATATTGAGTATAACATTTCATTTCAAAGTGCACTTGCAGAATACTAATTCGTACATCTTATGATGTACGAATTAGTATATTTGACTTCTGTTAAAATTAGACATTTGTTGCATTTTTATTAAATTTCTCAGCAACATAAAGTGTTCGTGTCTTGAATTATTTGAAAGTTAAAATTAGAGAAATAACTGATATAGTGGCATATTGAAAGTTCCTGATATATTAGGATTGGTTCATTGATTTTACAAATCAATACACTGATCTTTTTTTATTTGTTTTTTTTTTATATTCATCTCTGGCATTGTTTTGTCATGGGAGGCATTCAAATATGGCAATGGATATATCACATGGAAGACCGAGTACTCTCTGCACACAATTTGCCACATTTGATATATAGTAGAGCCTCAATTATCCGACCCCCGATTAACCGACTGTCCTAGTCGGCAAATTTCAAATGTCCGCTAGTGATGTGGCGCTACAATATTTGGCTATGTCTTGGCTGCTTTAATATTATTTTTATGTGTTTTAGCTGGCAACACTCATTCGACCATGAAAGGGAGCCAGTATTTAAACGAGGCTTAATTTTCTAATTTTTAAGGATACAATAGCGACGATTATCATTTAAAGAAAAAAATTTGTTAGGCTTAAATCGATGAAAATTCAACGCAAAGTAGGTTAATAGCGATATACTAATATACTAATTACATGGGATATAATAATATACTACACTAATAATGGATTTTTTCATACTTTTCGGTTATCCGACTTTTCAATTATCCGAACAACCCCAGTCCCCAATTGGGTCGGATAATTGAGGCTCTACTGTAATATTTGATATGCAGTTGTTACTTTTGGAGGATGCCAGTATGTCCAGGGTATGAGTAAACAAGACTAGAATTAGTGGAAATTCTAGTTTATTGGTTGTGATGTTAAAAGATTGTTATCTTACATATTGAAATAACTAAAAATTATATAAATTGAAGATTCATTAATTAAAATCATTATCATCAATTAATAGGAATTCATTTAGTGCCTGCATGTTTTTTTTTTACAGTTTTAAGTTTAACAGAGTTAACATAATTGAAATAAGAAATGTCAGCAACTTTTAAACTACTGCATTTACAAGCAATGAATGACTAATATTGATAATGATTGCACATTATCGGTCACATTTAGGCTAATAGCATGAAAACATGTCTTAAAAGTGCCTGTTTATCTAAAGATAATGATACTGAATTCTGGTTACAATAAATAAAGTTTTATATATAAGGATATTTTAAGTTACAAGTTTTAGGTCATGAGAACTTTGATAAAATAATTGATAACAACATATGTGAATTCAATAAGTTGGTGGTTCTACTGTAATTGGTTTCTAGAAAACTGTTAGAAGAGCCAATATAAATGGAATTTTAATGATTTACCATAGGTTTGATGTTATAAATTAAAAATGTTCTTTTCCTCAAAATAAACTATGAACTATATAATACCATACGAAAAAAGTAAAATGAAAAATTTGATTTTTTTTCTGTATACTGTTATTTATAGAATACAGAAAAAATTCTTTATTCCTCTACTACACAATTTAAAGAATTTTTTAAATGTGTTAGATTAGGCACTCTGTGTGATAAACTCTTGTGTAAGATAACCTTTGTAATTATTTAAATCAAATGCAGCTGTCCTTTGATAGTCCGACGCACCTCCCGTCAAGTTACCTGTCCCCGTTACGTGTCTGCTTGCACAGAAACATGTCACGACATGAATCTCCCCACCCAATTCTTACATGATGACACACATTTTGTGTGTTTTCCATGAGCAGTTCTGTTCTAATAGTTGGAGTAGAGAATATTGTAGACTACTGCTAGTAAAACAATGCCAAATATGTAATCACTTTCGGTAATCCGACACCCCTTTGGTCCCATACCTGTTGGATTATGAAGGGACAGCTGTACTATAAATAACAAACATTAAAACGAAAACTGTATAAAGGTTTGGTTATTTTAGCTTACCATCGTCATGTTTATCGCCATACTTGGATGGTACGAAATGCACAATTTCATTAGTCAAGTACTGTACACACCAATTGAAAATATATTTAAAATTTTTTAAGATATAATTTTTCCTAATGTTAACTCTAACAAACTGTACATTCACTATCAAATATCAAACAGTAATCTGGCCATGAATGAAATTTCTTGAAAAACGAACCAAAAATTTAAACTTGGCATCTTCGAAAACTACTTGAATCATAATTTGTGTTCAAATCAACTCATTCAGCAAAATGTAAACCGCAACACAACACCTTAAGTTGCTGAGAAATTTATTAAAAAACACATTAAAATTGAATCATGCATGGTAGCACTTTTAGAGTTCATGCACAACAAGAACCCAGATTTGGTATGTTACAATAATGAAGTGGTAGAACTGGCTAGCCTCATATGTTATGAATCATTTTTTGCCTTTAACAGCTACCCGTACAGACAAAGAAGAGGAGTCCGATGGATAGTCCTGTATCAGGACTGTTATGTCAGCTTGTGCTCAGATTTGGTTGTCAGATTTTAATCTCAATTTGACTCCCAAATTTCTTGTAGTAACACCAATATAGTTTTTCTTGATACCTAATTCCATGTTTCATGTGGAGTCCTGTACACTCCTGCTCTTCCTTCTTTATCAATGTTGTCCTTGTCATTCCTTAAAATCTTGTACAGGTTAGCTCTCTTGAAAATTAATTTGGATTTTTTGCAGTCTGAAATTTCTCTTGTGATGACTTTCTTACTTCTATCGTAAGTGAACTTTGTGATTTTACCTATGTCTCCACATGGAGCCTGTGCTGTGCTTATTTTGTAGCTTCAGATCAGTGCTGTTATCATATCCACTCTGTATCGTAGCATTCTGGCAATCTGTAATATTGTATTGATTTCCTTCTGCCTATCAGCTACGCTACAATAAAGGCTCTTCTAATGAGAGTTCGGAAGGCAGCCAGTTTATATTGGTAAGAATCATTCAAATGTGGTGGAATATAAAGTGTGCTATGCATTGATTTGACATACACACTGGTGACCAAATGCCCTTCCTTAAATTCAATATCTATGTCTAAAAAATGTATTTGTGAGGAATCTTTCTGTTCAATCTTCAACTTGAGGCAGTCATCATTCTTATTGATCTTGCCAATAAACACATCGATTTTTTGGTCATTCCTCCATAGTACAAAGACATCATCTACATATCTTTTAAAATACACTATATCCTTCTTGAAATCATAAAGAACACTTTTTCTAGTTTTCTCAACACAAGCTCACATAACAGTCCTGATACGGGACTTCCCATCAGGACTATTCTTCTTTATCTGTACGGGTGGCCATTAAAAGTGAAAAATGATTCATAACATACAAGGCTAGCCAGTTCTACCACCTCATTATTGTAACATACCAAATCTGGGTTCTTGTTGTGCATGAACTCTAAAAGTGCTACCATACATGATTCAATTTTAATAGAGGGGTATAAGTAGTCCATTACATTTCCCACCTCATCGTCCATTAACATTAGATCTTGTATCTCTTTAATTAATTAATAACTACATCTCTGGGATCCTGTGCCAGAAATACACTATTCTCGAACTGAGAGGTGAGAAATTCATATAACTGTTTTTCAAGGATAAAAGTTGGTCCCCTGCATCTTTCCACTATAGGCCTTACTTCTTTATCTTCCTTGTGGTTTTGGCAAAAGCAAATAATCTTGGCATTCCAGGCCTGGGATTTCGACAATTTTTGAGGAAAGGTAATGCCCTTTAACACAGTAACAAAGTAAAAACAGGACATTAGTGAGTCATGTTTTTTCAAGCTTCTTGACTCTTCTATCGACACTTACGATAATTTTCATGTCAACCCATTCACACACTGTTTTTTTAATGTAATCCTCCAAAGCTTTATCATAAGTCTGTCTTCTCATGATAACCAATGTCTTGCTTTTCTGCCCTTGTTGCAACCAAATCATTTTTTATCAGTCAACGTTTTGTAAGTTTGATGTCTTTGCTTATATTACTGCCTTTCTTCCAAGCTGCCTGGTCTTTAATTAATTAATGATGGCTTTCCATCTGAGTTATTCTTTTTCTAAAGAATCTAGCCCAGTTATCCCACTTTCTATTTCTTGAATTGAGGTTTCCCAAGAACTTGAATTTTCAGGGACAAAGTTCGGTCCTTGTTTTAGAAGCTCTTTGATCTAACTACCAGTATGGTTTTATGGTTTTATCGGTGGTTTTATCCACTCCGCTTCTGGAGGACACTTATTAAAATTAATAAAGTACCGCTCAGGTATGAAAAAAACCCAAGTTGTCAGGTGTGGAAAATTAAATACTTACAGATTTTTCACAGGGTAACAGTTTCGATTGCACGCAGGCAAATGCTATATGCTATCTCAATAATGGTATAGCACGTCTACTTTGTGCTATATCATTCTTGCAGTAATTAAGTGAATAATATACAGTATATGTATTTTGAAATCCTATTCTTTTTGTAAGAATTATAAACCTCTGAATTATGGACCCCCAATATTCTTATTTAGATTTTGTTATACTTAGTTTTTTGTATATATTTTTCTTATTCCCATATTTATTTGTATTTTCTTAACATTGTATATTTATTAAGTTTATTTTTATTCATTGTTAACTTCATATTTTTCATAAGTTATTTAATTAACTCGTTTACATTTAAAGTTTGTATTTAGAATTCTTCAAACTTAAAATTTAAATGGAATATTCTATTTGAGGAACAGTTTCTAAAAAAGGTTTAAGAAACCTGATGATGGGCTATAGGAATAGGCTGAAAACATTAGTAATTTAAAATTTTCTCTCAGCAAATGCATAAGTGGTCATAAATTTGTAGGAATTGTATATACAGTAGATCCCCCTATAGTTACGATTCCTATAAGACGGCGAAAAAATTGTGGCGGTATCTGTACACAATGGTAAAAAAACTCCTATAATTACGTAAAACGTCATCGGGCAGCCGAACTACTTTCCCGCCGTCCGTAGCGCCACGCTACGGACGTTTAGGCGGGTAAATTGAGTTTAGTTACGTCTGTGACGCTACGGAGAGTTTAGGCTAGCTATCGTCTGTACAGTATGTAAATTAGATACCGTAAGTCTAATATAGCACTGTAGTTTTATACGTTTCTTGTGAAAGAAACATTTCTTATTCAACGGCCATGAAAATTATTTATATTAATGATGTCTCCAAAGGTCAACGAAGTTTTCGCAGAAAAATAATATCGGAAATCGCGGCCGCCGTTTGATGCGCTGTTCCGCGACGAAAACAAGCTTTAGCAACGGGTGTAGTCGAACGGTGCATACTCGGTAAGTAATCCTACAATTTTTTGTTTATAACGTAGTTTATACGGATTATTTGCAAAAAAATATACGTATTTTGGAAATGTTGAGTCGAATTAGTCTAGAATCGATTAATTTTATGGAAGAAAACCTTTCAAACAGCCGTAGTCCGTAAACTGTGATTCCTACAAAATTGATTCATAAAGAACGGAACGTATCTACCGTCTTGTAGGGGGATCTACTGTAGTTTATTATTTTGTTAAATTTTTGCCAATAGACGGCGCTACGTGTAAATCAGCAAATCCAATGTAGAAAGAATTAATTAATTTACAGAAATCCAATTGATATTATGGGATGGGATATACGTCATTATCTAAGTTAGCGGTATATAAACGTAACTGCCGAGATTAGTAGCAAATGGTCGAACGGCCTAGGAGTGTGTAGAGAACAAAAATATAAACATTCTCATTTATATATAGATATAATGTTGTTAAACAAATAATACACAATGAGTTTTAAAATTTTATGTATTTATTTTAAATTGTAATTTCATGGAAAATTACATAATTGTATATTTTAAGGAAAAATATTTTTAAGATTATTTTCTGCAATCCACATTCTACAATTAATTTGAATCTATAATTCTATTAATATAATACTTTACAGCTCGAAAAATATCCAGCAATCAAGGTTGCTGAATATTTTTCGAGTGTTGTTATAAGGGACCTGAAAAATTTCTACAGTAAAGAAAATTGAAGTCAAAATTTGTAATAATTTTTTTTTTCTTTTACAAATCAATAAAATATACTTCACTTTTCATTTTGTGTAGTATTTAATTAATATCTTTATGTTAATTCTCTTTTTATGATTGACTTCTAAAATTGTAAAGGGTTGGTAAATGGCCTTACACAGAGTTCAGCTTAAGGTCTCAAAATTCCTAAATCCGGCCTTGCAATCAAATGAATATTTGGTCGGAGTAACTTCTCATAACTGTCAGTTTTGAGGAATTAAGACATTGCAAAAAAGACTTTCATAAAAATGTGTACGAATAAGAGAATTTCGTGTTTAATTGTGTGTACGAATTTGATCTATTCTGCTACGAAATATCTCTAAATAATTGTGTCGTTGCTAGTGTTAGTTGGATGTAGTTTTGAAATGCATTTGTTCTCGTCGAGCACTCCAGTTAGTTCAATTAAAGTCGAAAATACCGAGTGAAAACCACTTGCTACCTGCAAACAGTGTAAAGAAGTATTTTATTCTTCAATATATACTCAAGATTTCTCAAATACTATGACACACACACCTTATGTATATGAGAACTAATATTTATTGTTTTAACAGAAGTTTTCAACCTGATTTACAGGTCATCGTCAGGTATTTTCAAATCTCTGGAACGTTTTTGTATTGGTTCCACGTTCGAACGATTATTATTAACGATCAAATTTATAAATTTGAATTTCTTTTCGCAAACGTCTTTTTTGAAAACGCCTGTTAAAACAATAAATATTGGTTCCTCATATACATAAGGTGTGTGTGTCATAGAAATATTTTATTATAAAGATTTTTTAATAATTATTTAAGCTATAGTAACAGATAATCATCGTATTTTATACTAAATATAAACTTGATTTTGCAAAGACAACCGAGATCTTACTCGAATCAAGAAGTTCCGTTTCACGAAGAAAAATCCTCCAATGGATATTCCAATGGGCATTCCTCCGAATATCTTCATGAAGCAAACGACCTAACATGAATAATTTGTTTCGGTTAAAATGAAAATGAATATAAAATCTAAGGTAGGTACTGTACATTACTTTTAATTTATATGTCAGCGTCAGAGGATCAGAGAAATATTTTTCCACAGAGATGAAATTGTCGTATATCTGAAATAATATTAGATTCTTATATAAATAGGCTAAATCATTCTTCTTAATTTCTACTTACAATTGATGTTAAAGTCGATGTTCTCCAGCTGACTAATAAACTAAAGCTTGACATTTGTAACGCAAGAGTAGCCATGAATAGTCGAATGGAAAGATTCATCTTAGCAAAAAGGGTTCCGTACAAAAGAAAGCAACTCTCATAAACAAAATGAATGTAAATAAGAGGCAAAAGAAGCTCCCATTTTTTGTTTACATCTTGAAAAAATTCCCATAGTTCCATAAATTTTTCGATTAGATTTTGGAGGTAATATTTTGTCGCTTTATTTACGGTGTGCAATTCTAAAGAGATTTTAGATAATCTCTTCGATACCAGTAATAAACAGATTGTGGCTAAGGAAAACACACAGAAGAGATGAATAGAGGTAATCATAAACCAAATTTGAATACTGACCAAACATACAATTTGTCTGATCCTGTATTTCTTTCCAGTATCAACAAACGAATGACCAATAAACGGTACTAAAATGGCTAGTGACATGTGTAATACGACTATATACGAAAAGAAATTCCGTACATAGAATTGAACTTTATCAATATATTTCTCTTCGCCTTTGTAATTATTTTTACACATGGAATGTAATTTGATCTTATTTCTTCTTATAATGCTGTATTGCAATGCGACATATAAAGAACAAGTTAAGGGCAAGAATTTACAGTAGAAAGCATGCTCTTTAAACACAAGAAATATTCTAGCGCATGGGATATCGACTGCAAGAGTTACAGCAAGAAATATTACAAGATACCATAGATATATTTCAATTAGCATTTGATAAGTTGAGGAAAGAGAGGCGGATATTTTACTTTTTCGACATTTACAAGGTTCAAGAACATTCACTCCAAAAATTTCAGATAAAGAGAGAAAAGGATGTAATTTACCAGCGATGCAAACGTTATTGGCATAAGATTTCGAACAATTTTCCATAATATTTTTTCTACGAATAACTCGAAAAATATATCAACCATTCAAAAATTATTCTATAAAATTTTCATTTTAAGAACTCACCTCGCTCTACAAATTTACAATGGAAATTTTGTTTTGAAATAAAAATGAAAAGCTACGAGATACGTGAAAAATGTCTTCTCTTATTATCTGCTACAATTGGTCCTTACTTCAGCTGTCTACGCGAAGAATCGCCTTGAGAGCAACGTCATGCGTAATATCGCTTCAGTTAAACCAATCAGCACTTTTCACTTAATATGTTAGGCCATATGTAAATTTTATTTTATTATCTTGTCACTAGATGGCAGAGCGACTTTTCCGTTAATTGTTAATTATTTATAGCGTGCATTAACTGTAAAAAATCGTAAATTTAACAATCAATATAGCGAACTTCCGCGTATTTCAAATCATGAATGTGAATCCTCCATAACACTGTTGGCAGTGACATGTTTAACAAATGAGGAAGAAAGCGTTAGTAACTTGTCAGAACTAAGAGATCATGGCTGATGCTAATACCAAGTTGATTCTTCTCATAGACAGACTGTAAATGAACTCGTAAACAGAAATATCAATGTCTACAGTAATTTTAAATGTCCAGCTTTAATGTAACGCTTCGTCTGTTTAATTCTTTTCTTTAATTGTTTGTATGGTTTATTAGTTAATATATGAACGATTTCATTCTGAAAAGGTCAATATTTACTTTTCAATCCAATGTGTACAGATTTAAAATGTTCACTTCTTTTCACTTCAATATTCAGAGAATTTGTTTACATTAGTCTGAATAAATCAAATATGCTGTAAAGGTATTTCTCTTATCTAAACTTTCCAATTGCACGTAATCAAAAATATTCGTTGCGATAGTTTTTCTATAATTGAGATAATTATCTAATTATTTTTGGATCAAAGAAGTGTGTACCGGTTAATTCGTCGATGTTACTCTTCTTTAATCTTACCGTTCCCTTGGAGATTAAGAAAAGGGCAACCCAACGACAAAGGTAATGCACGAAATTTTCCAATGTACGGACGTCCTTGGTTTGTACCTTGTTGGGTAATTTACGATGCCTTTTTTTTTTTTTTTTTTGTAGTCTGCGGGCGCCTCTGCCCATGACGAAAAGAGCTTAAAGATTATAAAATTCACTAATTTATATTTCTTGATCACACGCACTTTGCAATTTATGAAATCGCATATTCTATAAAACAAATCTCAATTCCAGATACGATTAAATATTTATTTTTCCAGTGTTTAAACAATACGTAAGATTTAAATTTACAATCTTGTATAAATATTTGTTTAAATATATATATTACTAGCAGATGATCCTGGCGTTGCTAGGGCAAAAAAGTAAGAACAGCGAAAATTAAGATTATTAGATCTTACTTCTAACCCTTCTAATATATCATATTATAGTATTTGATTTATATTTACAAAGGTTATCTTAAGTAAGAGTCTGTCAGACCGTGCCCAATCTAATTACATTTTCAAAATTCTTTAAATTGTGTACACAAAAGAATTTTAAAAATGTGTTGGATTGGTCACTCGGTATGATAGATCCTTACGTAAGATAACGTTTGTATTTATATAAATTAAATGCTATACTGTATACGAACATTAAAACGAAAACCAAATAAAGAATTTGGTTATTTTAGCTTACCATTGTCATATTTGTGGCGATACTCGGATGGTACGAAATGGCACAATTTCATTAGTCAAGTAGACACCAATTGAAAATATATTTAAAATTTTTTTTAAGATCTCATATTTTTCCTAATGTTAACTCCAAGAAACTGTACCATTGACAGCCAAATATCAAACGGAAATTTATCAACGAATCAAATTTCGCATAAACACGGACCAAATATTTAAAAATGGTACTCTCGAAAACTAAAAATATATTTTGTGCTCGCCGGTAATTTTGTATTATGTAATTTTCCTATTCTGATGCTAAAGTACCGCTGGTCCACCATACGCTAGGAAGAAGGGAGCTGTTGCGCGAAAAGGATTGAAGTAATTCGACCAAAAGTAGTTGACCTCTGAAGAGAGGATGGTCAACCACTACTGATTAATACTAGTCTAATATTAATAGTAATATTTGAAAAGTGATCCGTGTTAGACAGGTTGTGATGGCTCCGCATGCCATCGAAGTTGCTAACCTCAATGTTCGAAAGACTTCGTATGACTTGTTTAAATAAAAACAATCATGTAAAACTGTGAAAATAATTGTTTTTGTGTTATACCTACGCAAAAACAACTTATCTCACTGAAAATTATTTATTAAGTGTAAAGTACATTTTCAACCTTTATCCAACTTTTTTATGTATTTTATTAATTTGTTATTTTAAATTGTATATAATATATAACAAATTACAGTAATATAATATATTACTGTAATTTATTCTTGGGATTGAAATAGCTCAATATTCCGAAGAATTTTGGATTTTGAACGTGTTCTTGGCTGTTCTATAGAAAAAAAGAACGCTTATCAATGTTCCAAATTTTAAAAACCGGAAGATGGACTTTAGAACAGGTTGAAAACGTTCGTTACGGTTAATAAATAATCCTCAGTGAAATGATGTGTTTTTGCGTAGGTTTTTTTTTATACTCCTTCCGCTCTGTAGGCACTAAGAGGGTCTTTTATAGCAGGCCCATTATGAGTTCGGCCAGGCCCACAATGGGGCGACCGGGTGGTGAGGGACGGGGCCCGAAAAATTCCTGGGGATTCCTTGAATCGTCCGGATTCGATCTCGGGTCCCCAGAGCGGTAGGTTGCCACCTTGAGGTAAGCATCTAGCTTAGGGGTGGCCAACAGTTTTTGCCCCCGGACCGAATTGGAAAGAAAACTTTCCATGGGCCGAACCAGAGGCTGCCCTAGGAAGATTTTGAGGTGGTGCGAGATCTCATTGTGGTGTCAGATTAGAGATTACAGATACATTTTTTCACATTATCATGCTTTATCAACACACTACGCTGCACTTACGGGATTTGTAATGGAGGGTTAACTTTAAACGCACAGTGAGTTGTTGACCTTTATTTTTTTTATTTTTTTTTTTTTTTAGGCGTCAGAATTTTTCATCGAGCTATTCGGACTTCAGTAGCTAATATTCAAAGATTGATCGCGGGCCACGTAAATTCATTAGACGGGCCGGATCTGGCCTGCGGGCCGTATGTTGGCCATGCCTGATCTAGCTGGATATTAATTAAGTATTTTGTTATAATAAAGTGTTTATATTTTTGCAACAGATTGTATAAATTATGTGGGAGGTGTGTTCTCATAAATATCGTGTTTATAGCTGTTACCCGCGACTTCGCCCGCGTGGATTTTGCAAGCAAACTCCATTTATATTCAGTGTTTCAACAATCATAGTACAGTAATTGTTATATAACAGCTACCGCTGAGAATGATGAGAATTGCTAAGAATGAAACGAACTGTTTTCAATTTGACCAATTTTCTGGAACGTTTACAATCGTTCTATAATCGAACCAATATGCGATAACAAATTCGAATTAAAACGGTTCGAACATTCGGTAAAAAAATCAAAATATATGAAAATATTTATAACAATGTCTGAAATGTTATCAATTTAATACACCTAAGTACTCAGGACTAAACGTAGTCGAAAACAAAAAATCGCATCTAAAATAGCATAGTAAAAGCCGTTCTTCAAGTTAAGCCTTAATCCTTTCCTTCCCTCCCCGCGGGAGAATTTCGAAAAATTCCTTCTTAGTGTGCGTTTTCATGATGTACCCTAACTGTGTACCAAATTTCATCTCTAGGTTCAGCGGTTTGCTCTGGGCGATGATGAATGAATCAGTCAGTCAGTCAGGACAAGTAATTTTATATGGTTAGATTATTGGATTATTAGATTATTAATTTTATATGGTTAGATTATTGGACAAGTAATTTTATATGGTTAGATTATTGGATATATTGTTAGATTATTTGAAAAAATTATATACTCATTAATTTCGACTGTTATCCGTCTGTCTGTCCTTCCTCAATTT